AAAGGCAGACAATAGAGGATGGCTTAAGGTCGGAGTGGTTTTGATGACGTCATTGAACGTCGTTGGTGGGTCATACCCCAAACGGGCTGGAGGTGTAGTAGGGAGCATCATTAAAACTGCACTACACGACAAGTCTTGATGCCTTCCCACCAATGACGCTCAATAGCGCTATCAGAACCGCTCCTCCGTATAGCCGTTGTGCTTTGCCTCTAGAAAACCACAGCAAAAACTTATCCATCGACTTTACAGTGACTGTTGTCATAAGATACATGGCGAACAACTCACAAATAATCATCCCGTTGTGTGACAGATCGGTGGGAAATCTTCGGGATCGTTAGCATCCGGTACTCTCGCACCACTTCTGCGTTGCTTGCTCGACCTGAACAATTATTAGTTTAACGTTCCTATTGCATTTGGGTTGTAATGGTGAATGTTCGCACTAGATTCAGTTCTATTCGTCTCCGTCGCATTGACACCTATGCGGTGCATTTTCACAAGATCACATTCGCCACCAGTACTCAGAATGCGATAGCAATACAGGAAACCATCCGTTGTAGCCACCAGAAGATGCGGTTGACCTTTGATTCTGAAAAGATGAATCCTGCCACATCGCGACAAAGTGCATTTGAAAATCAACAGAGAATAATTTAAATTGGAGCTATTAAGTAGACAATTTTGCTAATGAACCTAAATGAACCTATGCAATTTCGTGGCTTTCTCACAGTCGATGTGGCAATAATAATAATAACAATCACACTCGGAGCTTTTTTGCAATGAGCGATGAACTATATCAATTTTAGAGTAATTTTGGTAAGTTACTCGACTTTTTAACAACCACTGCATCACGGTAATTATGAAAAGTTTACTTCTTCCTTCAAAATATCAAAATATCTTCTTAAATTATAAGTCCACAAAACTTACGTTGGCATGGCAGCCACATTCTTCTTGTCAGATCCTGGCAATATAGCAGTAGCGAAGCTTCGTTCTACAGTCATGAGCTCATTCACTTGCGTTGGAAGGTAACTTGAAGCAGCTTGCGTTAGATAACCTAACCAGCCACTAGAAGATTCTGCCGTTGACTCTCTGAAAACAGAATAGATCATAGGAAGTCGTACCCTTTAACTACTCGACGCCTATTGCCTAAACGAAAGAAATTTCATTGCCCAAACAATCTATGTATTTTCTTTTCATCAACTCATGCCGTTTCGTTAACATCCCTGATCTAACAAAAAAAGTCAACCGGTCAGTCGGGCCACACTTGAACACAGCGTCCCAAGGTTCGTGTGCGTATATAAATCTTACATTAAATGGCGGGCTGACCAAGGGCCTTCATGACAGAGGTGGAACTTCAGAAACAAATTAGTGCTTGCATAGCGCTAAAACCATCAGGATGGCACAATGCACCGGCAAATAACAAATTTTCAGGGTTCGCAAGAAATTCCCCATGAAGTCTGTGCAAAATGGATTCCCCCGCCTGGTTCAATCTCAAATTGATGCCTATTTTCTTACTTATGTTAGTATATAACGGACCATACGCTAAGAATAGATAAAAGAGGGAAGCACATTATCGTTCCACTCTTCTACACGGATCACTTGTATCCCAGGAAATTTTGCACAGTACAGTTACTGTATTATACCCGCTGAAGTAGGTTGGATGTACATTAATTCGAGAATGAGCACAGATGATAATTTGAAAACTTACTGTTTCTTCTCTTGATCTTCTGGCTTCTCTAATTTGAACACATGAACAGTTTCGGTATTACTCGAAGAGCACAAATATGTGGAGTCGGCAGAGAAAGCCAGAGAGTAGATTGTCACGCATCTGAAACTGCGGATGTAAGCTACCTAACATCTGACGTTATAGCAGCAATATTCACCTGGACATTCCTCGACGGAATTCGAATAATCTTGTCCCTTGAGGAACACTGTAAACACGTATGACTGTTCCTTTTATGCTTGCCGTTGCAATCATTGTACCTAAAAATATATGTAGTCAAGGATAATGCATGTGATACTGCTTATAGCCTGCTAACCATCTGCGTTGAATTTGAGACAGGCCAAAGGTCCGTCGTGAGCTGTGAAAGTGTTAACTGCCGAAAGGTTCATACAATCGAAGATATGCACCTGAACTTTCGTGCATCGGATATGTAATAAAATGAACAGAAGAAATTATTCATACTACAACTACGCTCCCAGCAGAAACGAAGGGGTGCTATTGAAGAAGCTTTCGCTTGAAAGAGCGTAAGCTCTTTTACTAGTCCCTACGAGGAGTGCATAATATGGACAGTACATGGGACAGGGGATGCTACAGTCAAATGATATTCCACAAAACTGGATTATATCAATTCCCACAAGCCGCTGGCTTGAGAAACCTGACAATTCATTGAGCTGTAACAATTTGGTTGAATGGACTTTACTATGTGCAAGTCAACCAATGTTGGAAGATGCAACAATGCGAAGATTAGTGAGCTAGGAAGTCCTCATAAGCTAGACACTTTCAGCAATGCAATTGTTACATGTAGCCTCGTTTATCCCCCGCTCCACCCTTTCCCCCTCCCCGCGCATGCAAGCCTCCAATTGCTCTCAAAAGGCGCTATGGTCTCCTAAGTTGCGAAATTCAAAAATTGCGTTCTTTTTTACTTTGGCTGTAGGGCAACAACAACAAAAAGCGTCTTACAAACTGGAATTTTCTCAAACTCTAAATTTCAAGAAGAGGGTTCTTTACTTCAAATCAGAAATCTGACAGAGAGTGCGATTTACACTTCCTATAGTTCAAGACGAGTTTGCTTGAAGATGCAATTGTGTCACGACTTTTGGATAGAAAATTTCGAAGGACATATTCGAAGTAGAGAATGCGGTGCCAGAAGATCGAGAAAAAACATACGCTTCCAGCTTCTGCACTTGCTGGATATGCTATCAAGCAGCTGGCCTCAGGTGAGAGATCGATCAAGCCGAGCCGATTCAAAGGTGTATCAAGAATGGTATGAAGTGGCTGAAATACACGGTAATCAGACAATTAAATGAAGAGCATCCCGTGCACCAAATAAGAGGAGGAAGAGGGCACAGGGGGGGGGGCTTATTCAACGAATGTAGTTTAAATCAAATAGATTGCAAATGCACTCCCGTTTCCTAACGTCTGGATAAGAATAACTGACTTTCAAAACCATTACGAAAAGAACAGACTGATTGAATCTCTTAGTTTTTGATGATACCTACTGCTTTTACAAGATAACTTTAACACACGCCCTTGCGCGTTTTGGCTCATTTGGCCGCGTGAGATCGACGCGATTCTGCGAAAGCAGCAACCCCACTTTACAACGTTGTCGGATTTCGAAACTAGAACTCATAAAAATGAATGCACAAAATCATTTTAGGAATATCCCAAGTGTAGAAGCTATTAGGAGCGTAGTAGTGGGAATTCTCGAAGGACGTGTAATGGCATCAGATTCAATCAAAACACATATTTTGCCATGTAGTCCTATATTTACATCTAACCTTCCTTACAATTACAGTTGGCGAAGATAAAAAGGTGAGGAACAGACCCAAATGAAAATATTTTGTGGTTTAGAAAATCTTTGGAAAGCAAGAACACATCCGACTACTCTGCGAACCAAGTCGCTTATATTGGGTTGTCTCATAATTCCTGTCGCATTTCTATTCAATTTCAAATTTCTTCCGTCTAAGACCGTTTCATTGCGAAATACGTTAGTATGTTGAAGTATGCTTCAAGAGCCTTAACAGCATGGTTTCGGAAACGCAAGCCCTAACGGGTTAATCAACTAGGAATAAAAATAGGTCAGTGACTATAATGAATGATTATGCTTTACGATCCTCAAATGAACTCTGTAGCAAGGAGGACAACAGAGAAGACCAGCGCTGTGACCCAGTCTCTGCTACTGATAGGGTACTGAGCTAGTGGTCCAATCGCAACGGCAAAGACGAAACGAGCTATGAACTTCAACCTCATACTGGGCCTGCGGTCATTTTTGATGAGCGCCCCTTGCACCCTAAATTGGGAGTGCCTCCGCACGTTGCTACCAGGGTATTGTAGCAGATACCTGAGCGCAGCCGATGCACCAGCACACGCCATCAGTATGGCAAGGACTGCTGCAGAATGAAGTTTTGATGGAAACCTTATGGTCCGGCCGACCATGAGCGAGAAGCACCAGCTCAAGCTCAGTTTTCTGTACGTAGTCCTTCACTGCACGACTTCCGGCCACCCTTACAAAAGACGACGAAAGAGGTTACAAAAGACGTGTTGTGAACAAATTTTCCAGCTTAGCACGACTACACATCACTGTTTGAATATCGGAAACCAGTTTTCAAACTTCTTGAATGCACAATGAGATCTATAATTACGGAGTAGATGAAGGCGAACGTGGAATACGGCCTCTACCAGGACGACATCGCAGTAAGAAGAGACTCACCAAGAGCTCGCCGACTAGCTTAAACGTTGCTAAACAGCGAAACCCAAAAGATCAGTCGCTGTGTGTCTTACAAGGAAGGGTCAGCTGGTCAGTCCGACCATTTGAAACTATATAGTGCCTCAAGACGCTGAGTTCAAAATTCTTTCATTATCTGTGAAAGGATTAATTGAGAAGTTATGAAGCAAGAAAACGCAGCGGTAGTGACCCTGACGCATAGGCAAGAGGTCGTGAGATCGGCTCCAGTGCAAGTTCGTACATTGGTTTCTTTTCAGATGAATATAGCTGGAAATTTTTTACAGATTTTTCAAAACAGCAAAAGTACGGACTTGTATTGGAGTCGATTCCACGACTTGCCTGTGAGTCACTACCGCCACACTTTGCTACCACATGACTCCTTTCGGGAAATCGCTCCGTCTAACGAAAGCGTATGTGGATTCAACTCTTCGAGGTAGGTATATAGGAATACATTCGACTTGAAAGTGAAAGAAACCTTGAATTACCTTTTAAAATGACTACGAAGCAGGCATGTCTCAAACGACCAAACCAGAACCCACTCAAAATAGGGACGGTTCTTACAGATATGTGCAAACACCCCCAATATACATTGTGTGAACAGTTGGAGATAGAAAAAACGAAAAACAAAAGCACACCTTCATGTCCTTCAGAGTGTAAATAAATATAGAGTCCTCCACACAGACAACAACTCTCTGAAATTCAGATCAGAATTCCAAACAAATCATCAAATAAAAACGCATGGGAAATGCTTACATCTCGATTAAGTTTCACATTCAATACAGACTTTGTGAACTTGTAATCACAAATCATATTCTTGCTCTTGAAGTGGTAAATGTGCATCACTCGGGGTTCCTTTTGTGAGACAATAACAACCAGAGAGGAATTAAATAACCGCTCCACGATGATTGCCTCATGTATTGCTGAAAAGGAAAATGTTGTGAATATTCGATTTTAGGCCATTTCTCAATGACTGCCATGCTACTTTCACAACCGCTTTTATATTGAGCTTTTTGATTTGGAGGCTCAGTAGTGGACATATGCCCATGATCAAGGGGTGTGGGTCGCGACTACAGAAAGCGGCTCTTGGCTTCCCGGAAATAAACTTCTTTGCTACGAGAACCGGTTTACCTACTACATGATTTTTCCTCAATGGTCCTGCCGGTTACAAGGCTTCTGTCAACCAGAGGGTGAGAGCGTAGAAGGAAAAGCAGACGTTCTTTGTGGTAGTGGGACTAAGCCTTTTGAAGGAGGTAAAGAAAGCGGAGATTCTGTAATAGTGCGCTTGTGTGAGAGCTCCCAGACAGCACAACAAAACGCTGAATTGCCTTACGGTTGACAGATGTCCGGAGACCCCTCAAGCCGATGCCCTCGTCTGCGCTCTCTCGCCTTACCAGCGACTGGTGACCACTGTGATCTGACCCATGTAAACTTTTGCCACACTGTAACTGGACCCAATCCAACAACTCACCATGGGGCCTCGGCCCTCCAGGGCTTAATCCTACAGCTCTCACCTACTTTTTTGGGGTTTGGAGCCGAGCCGAGCGATAATCTGTGCTCTCCCCATTCGAGGCAGGACCATAGAAAAAAGTTCAAATAGTGCGTAAACCGGTGTGGTTCACTAGGACAGAAAGCGACTTTTTCGCGTTTCGCAGCGCGAAACATTTTTCGCTGCGGGAACCTCAGGTCCACCGCTGATCATCAGTGGACCTGAGGTTCCCGCAGCGAAAGTTTCGCGCTGCGAAACGCGAAAAAGTCGCTTTCTGTCCTAGTGAACCACACCCCGTAAACCCTAGGAAACGCTCTACGAAAATAAAAGCCTGGTGACGGAATCAATAAGTTGAAGATAAATCCTCCCCGTGGTCCCACACACTGCACCGTAGGCTGCTACAACATACCAACTATAAAACTTAATTTAAAATGATTATAGAAGTAATACTGCTAACCGGCTGAATTGTCGGCATCGTCTAACAGTACTGAAGACTCTAGAGCATCTGACGTTTTGTAAAGAATGTAGCCATTAGCATGTCCAACAGCTAGCGACCTTGAAAAGACATTAAGCTTCAAAAACTCGAAGTTTTTGATTCGTACAATTGTTCATTGTTCCTAAACAGAGATGCTGTCAACGGAAGGACAAAGGTTGTCCCGAAAATCAATAACAGCTGTGAGAAGAGGCGCCTTGATTTCATAATTCGTTCCAGTCAGAAAATACTGGACTGGATTCTCTACACTACTTCTAATATAAAAACGCTAAATGTAATAGTAATGCATAAAATATAAACTCACTTCGCATCTTGATTGAAATTCACGCATAAAAGATGGGCTACTTCCTCAACGGTCATGAAAGGACTGAAAATTGAAGGCTGTTGAAGGCTAACTATAAACGAAGTTTGACCGAAAGATCGAAGCAGAAGAAATAAAGCCGGATATAATGAAAGCAAACAAGAATCACGCCATGGGAAAGGGACCACCCGTGGCGACCCGCCATCAGCTGATCGTGCACTCGTGATGGAAACACGTCCGCCCGTCGCATGCAGGGCAACTCGTCCGCTCCCATTACGCACCCTGCAATTATCGGCTGCCACCAAACATAAAAGGTATCATGATTCTCATTGTTGTACCCATTCAACAGCAGCCATCAATATCCTTCACGAACCACATTCCTCAGAAGTAATGTCTACCGGCTCATTCTACCTATCGGGTGTAAGCCATACACTCGGCAGTTGGTTGGTTTTGGTAATTGCGTTTTTAAGACGACTGCAACCGCCCTCGGTACACGATTGGCTAGGCGATTACCTTCAAGGAACTCTAGTTTTCAACAACGAATCTTTTTCTTCTCCATAGCGTCAGTCCTGCGCTGTCGCAGCGTCCGCTACTGATTCCTTTGAAGACTT